TCATTCACACTATCACTGTCTTGTGGGGAAAAAGAGGTGACAGATGTCCCTCCAAAACTGAAAATATCCAAAAACCCCTCTTTAGAGTAACAGGCATTGTTACTTCCACCTCCAGGAAGAGTCAAGTCCGGCTAACTGGTTTTTCCTGGTAACCTCACAAAATATTACTGTGCTCGCACTCCAAACAGCTCAATCAGGTTCCAAAAGCATTTATCTTCCTACTGGTCTAGGCCAGAATTACCACTGATGGCAAAATTTTAGCGTTGCTGTTGGCATCTAAAACATAGCTCATAATCAGAGAAGTAAAGGGGTTAAGTTTACATATGGTAGACCGTAAAGTAGGTTATATATATTGTCCATGTGATGCACTGTTATACAATCATTTGTTTTTAAACTTTTATATGGCACACCATTTTTAACACTTATATTCTACAAGATATGTTTGCTGTTTGGTTTTTGATATTTTTCTCTAAGTTTAATGCCTTCAATACACTTCCATACCCCAGTTTAGCATGTATTCTGTTAACGGGCTTTACAACCTGATCAGTTCAAAAGAATTATATTTGTTATAATTTTTCTAGCCAGTGTCATTCATTTCTAACTGCCCTTTGTTACTTGGAATAACTGACTTTAGAGGTTGAATTGAATTTCTTGAGTGCCATAATACAAAACATCCTGTTAATTAATTGCTTTCCAGTGTTCTTTTTTGCTATATTTGAGAGAAATTAAAGGAAATATTTCTATAATTGAAAGACTTAGGAGGTAAGACAGAATGTAGGATAGCTGGTTATGCAGCAAGGAGTTTCAGAGTGTGGTAGGGGATGTGTAGATCACAAAGAGTGTTTACATTGCAAGCATATATGTGAACAGTTTTTAGATAAAGTTAGAGAAGTTTTATTGCATTTATGGATTAGAAAAAAGGCATTTGATTGAGTGGATAGGGAAGACAATGTGGCAGAGTATGTTGCAAGAATATATGGAATAGGTGGTAAGTTATTAAATGCTGTAAAGAGTTTTTTTGAGGTTAGTGAGGCTCAGGATTAGGGTGTGTAGAAAGAGTGGGAGACTAATAACCGGTAAAGTAGGTCTTAGGGATGTGTTAATGTCACCATGGTTGTTTAATTTATTTATGATGGGGTTGATAAGGAAGTAAATGCTAGGGTAGTTCGGGAGAGGGGGGGGATTAAAAATTTTGGGGAAACAAAATTCAAAAAAAAAAAATGGGAAATTATTGAACAGTTACTTTTTGCTGATGATACTGTGCTTATGGGAGATTCTAAAGAAAATTTGCTTAGGTAGTGGATGGAGTTTGGGAATGTGTGTATAAAGGTAGAAAGTTGAAAGTGAACATAGAAAAGAGTAAGGTGATGAGGGATCAAATGATTTAGATAATGTAAAAATTGGATATCAAAACTTGGCGGAGGAGGATGTATGATAGAAGTGAAATGTTTTCAGATACTTGGGAGTTGATGTGTCGGCGGATGGATTTGTGATGAGATGAGGTTAATCACTAGAATTTGATGTGAGGGAAAAAGGTGAGTGGTGACGTTGGGTATATGTGGATAGTCAAAAACGTTTATCTATGGAGGGCAAAGAAGGGAATGTATGAAAGCTATAGTATTTACCAACACTCCTTATATGGGTGTGATGCTTGGGTGGTAAAATGCAGCAAATACAGCGAGGAGACGGTTGGAGGCAAGTGGAGATGTCCTGTTTTTAAGGGCTATGTGTGGTGGTATATTTTATGCAGGATAATTTGTGAGTGTGAAATTAGGAAAGTGTGGAGTTAATAAAAGTATTAGTCAGAGGGCAGAGAGGGTGTTGTTGAGGTAGGTTTGGTCATTTAGAGAGAATGGAATCAAATAAAGTAGTATGACATTGGAAAGCATATAAATATATGGGGGGGTAGGGAATGGTGGGCGTAGGGGGTGTCTTCAAAAGGGTTGGAGAGAGGGGGTTAAAGGAGGTTTTGTGGGCAAGGGGCTTGGACTTCCAGCAAGAGTGCGTGTGTCGGTGGTTGTGGGAGGTGAATGGAGATATGGTACTTGGGACTGACGATCTGTTGGAGTGTGAGCAGGGTAAATATTAGTGAAGGGATTCAGGGAAACTGGTTATTTTCTATAGTCGGACTTGTGTCCCCTGGAACAATGGGAAGTAACATTTGCCTGCACTTTAAAGGAGGGGTTCTGGGTATTGGCTGTTTGGAGGGATATGTTGCTGTATCTTTATATGTGTATGCTTTCTAAACTGTGTGTATTCTGAGCACCTCTGCAAAAAAACAGTGTTAATGTGTGAGTGTGGTGAAAGTGTTGAATGATGATGAAAATATTTTCTTTTTGGGGATTTTCTCTTTCTTTTTTGGGTCACCCTGCCTCAGTGGGAGAATGACCGACTTGTTGAAAAAAAAAAATTTAGGATAAGAATTATCTAAGAAAAGCATAGGAATTAGGGCTCATAAATGTGTACTGAATCAGCAATTGAGCATCATACAAGGTTAGAAGGTTTATAAAATTTACTGCTGTCACCATTAGTTTGAGACAGAGTTTGGTAGGTAAGATTTCTGTAGGAAACAGAGGTAAGTGTTTCATTGTCACGGGTCTTTGTCTCTATGATGACCTGCCACTGAAACTTTGTCATTTGACAAAGGTGTTCTGCTGGCATTCGTACTATTCACCTCTTTACACCCTCTTTCATTGTCCAGGACCCTCGATCAGAAACTTGTCCACAGTGTCCATGTATTTTCAAAAAAATAATTTTGTCTCTTTTGTTCTTATGAAATGTGGAGAACTCTTTTTCTGGAGTATTAAAGCAAAAAGTTATAAAATTTTGATGGATAAAATTGACAAATTGAGTGCAAGGGGGTTTAAAAAGAAACTTACTCCAATCAACTATTTCAACCACCAGATATTGGTAATTTGGTCACTTCCAACAAAATTCAAAATATTAAATTTTCAAATAGGGTTACAAAATAAAAAAATATGCAGCCATTCCTGGCACTTAAATAACATTTCCTTGTTCATTAGTTACCATTCCAATAGGCTTTACATATGAATTCCACTTTTGATTTTTTATTCACATCAAAAAATTAAAGATTTACTGTTATGCATATATTATAATAATTGTATAAATATCAAGGCACATTTGTGAAACATATGTTAGACCAACCTATTGGACATGCATTAGACAAAGGACATGATTTCTTTACTCTTGAATATTTATGTTACTTTGAGCTCATTTTCTAGCTTTTTTCAGTCTGACAACCAATCAAAATCATCTCTGTTTCTTTATATGTCTTCTATTCTATCAAATGAGACAAGAAACTCAAGGTATATACAACAAATAAAACCCATTCGAAAATTGCACTGCAAATTTGCTGTGTTTTAAACCAATAAACACTGTCGCAGTTTTTTTTTTTCATTATCACTGTGTGCTCCAGGATTTTTCTTTATTTGGGGCACACTTATGCACAGACCCCATTCTGGTCATTTCTATTGCCCAAAACTTTTACCACTCGCAAGCTTATATTAGTGATTGAGTCATGGCCATAGTACTATGTGCACTGACAGTGACCTCAACACCCATTGTACTACAGCAAATAAATGAAAGGGGTTAAAGACAACCTACACTGCAGTTCTGCCAATTATATTTACCATGCTTTTGTTTCGCATTCTTTTGACAGGACAGTACTGTGGCACATTAATGTTTTAGTTTTGTTGCTTAATCTTGGAGGGAAGGGGTAAAGTAAAGAAAGTTTTGTGACAAGGGGACTGGAACTCATAAAGCAGGGCATGTGTGAGCACGTTAGAGGGAAGTGAAGTGGACGAGAATAATGGTTTTTGGGATTCTACATAGCTGTTGGACGTGAGCAGGGTAATATTTTGTGAAGGGATTCAGGGATATGGTTTAAGCAGGACTTGGAGTCCTGGAGGTGGGAAGTACTATGACCTGCCACCTCTAAAGGAAGGGGGTTTTGGGGATATTTGCTGCTTAGAGCGACATCTAAACTGTCATATCTGTGCACCTCTGGCAAGACAGTGCACTAGTGTTGAATGGTTGGTGAAAGGGTTTCTTTTTTGGGTCTCCTACCTTGATGGGAATGGCCAGTGTTAAAAAGAATAAAATTTATTTACATGCATTAATTTTGGGCTATGCTGCTTTATATGGGAGTCATATTGTATTAGGTTCATTGAATGGACCCAGGTTGTTAATTTACTTCGTAAATAAGTGTTCCTTTCTGCATTTGTTTTTCTCTTCATATTTAGCAAAAAAAAAAAAAAAAATGCCTAAAATTTCTTGTTCCTTTCAAGTGTAAGTGAGCCTCAATGGCTTTTGGTCCTCCTGTAGCAGCTTCACTCTGCCTTATTACTTATTCCACAGTAGTTGCGTTAATATACTACTGTATGGAGGAATTTTTGTGTCCTATTCATTTAAAGAACTCTGTTTAATTTCCAGTAAAATTGGTAGTTTTGTGGGCTAGCATGTTGAATATTTTATCTGGGGATGAATGGTACAAAACTTAATCCTTGCATGTAAAATTGACAAATGATAAGATAATTATTTTCTCTGTATGGGAAACCTTCTCACATTTAAATACTTTATTTTTGTTCAAACATTTTGTGTCATTCAAAAGCAGCATTGCAGTTATAATGCCATATAGTTTTAGTTACTAAGATGTGGGACACCCATACAGTTTTTTGTGTGGTTTTGGACTCTGCTGGGAACATAAAATACATACACCAAGAAACAGGACTTCTTAGAACCTACTGAATCTTTGGAAAAAATGCCTAGGTGTTATGAAGGAATTAAGGAAGGTATCTGTCTTAAATGTAGGGGGACTACATTTAAATTGCAGTATTTTATTAATGAATTTTAAAAAAAAAAAAAAAAAAAGTCTATTAGAGAGTATGTAAGATTTATGTGGTTTATGAATCAGTCATTGAGCATTTCTACAAGTGCAAGCTTCAGTTGGTAGGCTCCAGCTAGAGATAATTTATTAATCAATTATTGTGCATTACCACAGATTGGGACGTCACAGTTGATGGGTTCCATCCAGCTGGGGATCCAACAAGCAGTGGGAAGCTTGGCGAGTAAACCTGAGCTAGATGTTTTAATTCAAGACTTTTATGTTGTAGAAACTATATTCTTTCCTAATACTGGTTCTCAATCAACGCCGGCACATCAGTATTTGGATTTCAGGTTAGTTTTTGTTTTTCATCATTAAAGGGGAGGAGGGTCAGGCTATTTCAAAAAAGGAATTTTGAAATCAGTCATATTTAAAATATGATAATCTCATGTAGTAACACCCCAACACTCTGTTTAATTATAAGAATGTAATATGCCAGTTTGCACTTACTGTAGGCATGGCATTTGTCAGGTATCGTATTTTTTTATATTGTAAATTAATTGGTGGATAATGCTGTCAATTCCATGACAGCTATATTGTAAATTGGATGAACTTAGACATTTAGTTGTCAGCAAGGAGAGATGAGAGGATGTGTGAGGTGTACATGTATCTTCAATACCTTGATATGAAACTTGCTCTCTTGACTGGCCACAATCATCTATAATCTTGGAAAACCAACCCATTTTGCTAGTTTGGGTACTGGTTTTGGTAAGCTAGGTGAATAAAGCAACTATAAAAAAATGTGGTGAAAAAATATGCTAAACCAGCTGCATCCAAAAAATCCACTTCACAGATTGTGTAGGCACCTAAAATATATATAAAAACAAAAACAAATCAAATTTGATAAGGCAAATTCTATTTTAATAACAGATATTTATTATTAAAATATTTTTTTTATGTACATCTTATTGTTTGTGTAGCCGCAGGAGACAATGTTTCTTTGTTGTTGTCCCCTTCAAAGTGGGGTTGAAGATTTTTATACATTTTCTTGGGTAAATTACCTTTTGTGATTTAAAAAAAAAAATGTCTTGATCTAGAAAGATAAGGTCTACAGGTGGTAAGAATGAGTGGACTGTTACAATAATTGAGCAGAAAGCTGAAAATCACATTGAATGACACTGAATATCACTGTTTGCTGCTTAGTCAGGGTAGATGTTTTAATGGCATTTTCATCTGTCAATTTCAAATTGATTAGATCTAATGCTGAACCATTAAATATGCCCCCCCACACTCTTCAGACCAGTAGTTGATTTCCTCATAACAAAAGCGAAAGTAATTGTTGAGATGGTTTGGTATCTAGTAAAAGTGTAAAATAGATTCAGCTTTAAATATAGATTTTGTTCGGACTTTTATTAAGATACAGACAAACATCTTTTCTGTATTTTCTGTTTAGTTAATCTTGTATTTTTAGTGTGTAAATTTATAAATGTACATAGTGTATAAAAATCTTCTGATAACAAAAGCCGCCAAAGGTTACTATTCATCACATCTTGTAGAGATAAGGTAAGTGTAGATACATACATCCTGCAGTTCAGTTAGACATGTATTTGTCTCGGTATTTGTATTTTGTTTGTGTACTGTTTTGATAATGTTCATTTTGATTGTTTTGTGCATATTTTTTGTGCTCATGTGTTTTAGTATAAATTAGTGGTGAAATATGGATTCATGTTTTATAAACAGTTGCAGTTGAGGAATAATTTATTTTATCAGCTGTTTCCTTACCAGATGCATTGATTTTTTGGTACAGTGTATGTTAGTTTTATGAAGGTGTGCTTGATTTTTATTTTTGTTAGGGAAATGTGGAGTTTTTAAAGATTTTTGAGTTTTTATTGAGAAACATTTCTGTTGTTTTGAATCAGTTGCATTGTTGGTATAAAAATAACATACAGTAATCACAAATATGTATTGAACTAGCTAAAAAAAATGGACTTTATATTCTGATAATGTCCATTGGAAATCTCTCTTAACCAGAAGACCCATTTCTGAATTTAGTTTGATTGAGCAAGTGGTCACTGTTTTCATAGATTGTGACTAATAATTATATTAATTGTTCTTCTATATTCTTATTCTAATAATGAATATTACCTATTGCACATATTAATGTACATTTGAAATAAGGTAAATGCCAGGAATAGATGAATAAACAATAACTATAGTACTGTAGCTGCTATCACTGCATCCAACCTCTCCACACTTAGCGATGTACTCGTTTACCAATGACTCAGACTTACAACAGGCTCTCTGACCAGTATGCATACCTAAATAATGTATGTTAGAGCTGATTTCTTCTATTCTGTTTCTTACAATATACAGTACACTACTGTATAAAAATTTAAAATATACCAGAAATGTTATAAATGGTGCAAAGGTGACATTAAAACAATATCAAAGATGGTTGACACAAACCCATTACCATTATAGTATGCTCCTTGTTTAACTATGAATTCATTTACTAATGTGGCTTTAGGAACAGAACTCTGTCGTTAAGTGAGGAGAGGTTGTATTGTATTTTTTTTTTAACACACTGGCCCTCTCCCACTGAGGCAGGGTGACCTGAAAAAGAAACACTTTCACCATCATTCACACTATCACTGTCTTGTGAGAGGTGCACAGATGTCCCTCCAAACTGAAAATATCCAAAACCCCTCCTTTAGAGTACAGGCATTGTACTTCCCACCTCCAGGAGTCAAGTCCGGCTAACTGGTTTTCCTGGAACCCTTCACAAAATATTACTGTGCTCGCACTCCAACAGCTCATCAGGTTCCAAAAGCCATTTATCTCTCCTCCTGTCTAGGCCAGAATTTACCACTGATGGCACATTTTAGGTTGCTGTGCTTAAAACATAGCTCTACATCAGAGACAGTAAAAGGGGTTAAGTATTCACATATTGTAGACCAGTAAAGTAGGTTATATATATTGTCATGTGATGCTGATTATAAATCATTTGTTTTTAACTTTATATGCACATTTTTAACCTTATATTCTACAAGATATGTTGCTGTTTGTTTTAGATATTTTTCTCTAATTTTCATGCCTTCCATACCTTCCATACCCCCAGTTAGCATGTTATTCAGTTAACGAGGCTTTACACCAGATCAGTTCAAAAGAATTATAATTTGTTATAATTTTTCTAGAAGTGTCATTCATATCTAACCTGCCCCTTAGTTACTTGGATAACTGACTTTAGAGGTCTGAATTGAATTCTGAGTGCCATAATACAAAACACCTGTTAATAAATGCTTTCCAGTGTTCTTTATTGCTATAATTTGAGAGAAATATAAAGGAAATATTTTATAATTGAAAGACTTAGAGGTAAGACAGAATGTAGGATAGCGGATGAGCAAGGAGGTTTCAGAGTGGGTAGGGGATGTGTAGATCAAGTGTTTACATTGAAGCATATATGTGAACAGTATTTAGATAAAGGTAGAGAAGTTTTTATTGCATTTATGGATTTAGAAAAGGCATATGATAGAGTGGATAGGGAAGCAATGTGGCAGATGTTGCAAGTATATGGAATAGGTGGTAAGTTATTAAATGCTGTAAAGAGTTTTTATGAGGATAGTGAGGCTCAGGTTAGGGTGTGTAGAAGAGAGGGAGACTACTACCCGGTAAAAGTAGGTCTTAGGGATGTGTAATGTCACCATGGTTGTTTAATATATTTATAGATGGGGTTGTAAAGGAAGTAAATGCTAGGGTGTTCGGGAGAGGGGTGGGATTAAATTTTGGGGAATCAAATTCAAAATGGGAATTGACACAGTTACTTTTTGCTGATGATACTGTGCTTATGGGAGATTCTAAAGAAAAATTGCAAAGGTTAGTGGATGAGTTTGGGAATGTGTGTAAAGGTAGAAAGTTGAAAGTGAACATAGAAAAGAGTAAGGTGATGAGGGTATCAAATGATTTAGATAAAGAAAAATTGGATATCAAATTGGGGAGGAGGAGTATGGAAGAAGTGAATGTTTTCAGATACTTGGGAGTTGATGTGTCGGCGGATGGATTTATGAAGGATGAGGTTAATCATAGAATTGATGAGGGAAAAAAGGTGAGTGGTGCGTTGGGTATATGTGGAGTCAAAAAACGTTATCTATGGAGGCAAAGAAGGGAATGTATGAAAGTATAGTAGTACCAACACTCTTATATGGGTGTGAAGCTTGGGTGGTAAATGCAGCAGCGAGGAGACGGTTGGAGGCAGTGGAGATGTCCTGTTTAAGGGCAATGTGTGGTGTAAATTTTATGCAGAAAATTTGGAGTGTGAAAATTAGGAAAAGGTGTGGAGTTAATAAAAGTATTAGTCAGAGGGCAGAAGAGGGGTTGTTGAGGTGGTTTGGTCATTTAGAGAGAATGGATCAAAGTAGAATGACATGGAAAGCATATAAATCTATGGGGGAAGGAAGGTGGGGTAGGGGTTGTCCTCAAAAGGGTTGGAGAGAGGGGGTAAAGGAGGTTTTGTGGGCAAGGGGCTTGGACTTCCAGCAAGCGTGCGTGAGCGTGTTAGATGGGAGTGAATGGAGAAATGGTACTTGGGACCTGACGATCTGTTGGAGTGTGAGCAGGGTAATATTTAGTGAAGGGATTCAGGGAAACTGGTTATTTTCATATAGTCGGACTTGAGTCCTGGAAATGGGAAGTACAATGCCTGCACTTTAAAGGAGGGGTTTGGGATATTGGCAGTTTGGAGGGATATGTTGTGTATCTTTATATGTGTATGCTTCTAAACTGTTGTATTCTGAGCACCTCTGCAAAAACAGTGATAATGTGTGAGTGTGGTGAAAGTGTTGAATGATGATGAAAATATTTTCTTTTTGGGGATTTTCTTTCTTTTTTGGGTCACCCTGCCTCAGTGGGAGACGACCGACTTGTTGAAAAAAAAAATTAGGAATAAGAATTATTAAGAAATGCATAGGAAATAGGGCTAAATGTGTACTGAATCAGTCAATTGAGCAACAACAGGTAGAAGTTTATAAAATTTACCTGCTGTCACATTAGTTTGAGACAGAGTTTGGTAAGGTAAGATTCGTCAGGAAACAGGGTAAGTGTTTCTTGACACGGGTCTTTGTCATATGATGACCTGCCACTGAAACTTTGTCATTTGACCAAGGTGTTCTGCTGGCTTACCTATTCACCTCTTTAACCCTTTCATTGTCCAGACCCCCGATCAGAAACTTGTCCACAGTGTCCAAGAATTTTCAAAAAAAAATTTTTGTTCTTTTTTCTTATGAAATGATGGAGAATCTTTTTCTGGAGGTATTAAAGCAAAAAGTATAAAATTTGATGGAAAATTGACAAATTGAGTGCAAGAAACTACCCAGTCAACTATTTCAACCAACCAGAAATTGGTAATTTGGTCACTTCCACACAAATTTCAAAATATTAAATTTTCAAAATAGGGTCCAAAATAAACAATGCAGCCATTCCTGGCACTAAAATAACATTTCCTCTGTTCATTAGTTACATTCCCAGGCTTTACATATGAATTCCATTTTGATTTTTTATTCACACAAAAAATAAAAGATTTACTGTTATGCAATATTATAATAATTGTATAAATATCAGCACATTTGTGAACATATGTTAGACCCACCTATTGGACATGCATTCGACAAATGACATGATTTCTTTACTCTTGAATATTTATGTTACTTTGAGCTCATTTTCTAGCTTTTTTCAGTCCTGAAACCAATCAAAATCATCTCTGTTTCTTTATATGTCTTCTATTCTATCAAATGAGACCAAGAAACCAAGAATACAACCATAAAACCCATACGAAAATGCACTGCAAATTTGCTGTTTTAAACCAAAAACACAGTCGCAGTTTTTTTTTCATTATCACTGTGTGCTCCAGGATTTTTTTTATTTGGTGCACACTTACTGCACAGACCCATTCTGTCATATCTATGCCCAAATTTACCACTCGCAGCTTATCTTAGTGATTTGAGCTCATGGCATAGTACTATGGCACTGACAGTGACCTCAAACCCATAGTACTACAGCACAAACAATGAAAGGGTTAAAGACAACACCAGCAGTTCTGCCAAAATATTTACCAAGCTTTTGTTTCGCATTCTTTTGACAGGACAGTACTGTGGCACACTTAATGTTTTAGTTTTGTTGTTAATCTCTGGAGGGAAGGGGTAAAGAAAGTTTTGTGTACAAGGGACTTGAACATAAAGCAGGCATGTGTGAGCACGTTAGAGGGAAGTGAGTGGAGACTAATGGTTTTTGGGATTCTACAAGCTGTTGGAGTGTGAGCAGGGTAATATTTTGTGAAGGGATTCAGGGAAATGGTTAGCAGACTTGAGTCCTGGAGGTGGGAAGTACAATGCCTGCACTCTAAAGGAGGGGTTTGGGATATTTGCTGCTTAGAGCGACATCTAAACTGTCATATCTGTGCACCTCTGGCAAGACAGTGATAGTGTGAATGTTGGTGAAAGGGTTTCTTTTTTGGGTCACCCTACCTTGATGGGAGATGGCCAGTGTTAAAAAAAATAAAATTATTACATGCAATATTTTGGCTAATGCTGCTTTATATGGGGTCATATTGTATTAGTTACATTGAAATGGACCCAGGTTGATAATTTACTTCGTAAATAAGTGTTACCTTTCTGCATTTGTTTTTCTCTTCATATTTACAAAAAAAAAAAAAAATTGCAAAATTTCTTGTTCCTTTCAAGTGTAAGTGAGCCTCAAAGGCTTTTGGTCCCTCCTGTAGCAGCTTCACCTGCACTTATAATTATTCCACAGTAGTTGGTTAATATACTACTGTATGGAGAATTTTTGTGTCCTATTATTTAAAGACTTGTTTAATTTCCAGTAAATTGGTAGTTTTGTGGGCTAGCATGTTGAATATTTTATTGGGTAAGCATGGTACAAACTTAATCCTTGCATGTAAATTGACAATGATAAATAATATTTTCTGTATGGGAAAACCTTCTCACCAATAAATTTTATTTTTTTCAAAACATTTTGTGTCATTCAAAAGCAGCATTGCAAGTTATAAGCCATAATAGTTTTAGTTACTAAGATGTGGACACCACATACAGTTTTTAGTGGTTTTGGCTGCTGGGAACATAAAATACATACACCAAGAAACAGACTTCGAACCTACTGAATCTTTGGAAAAATGCCTAGTGTTATGAAGGAAATATATGAAGGATCAGTCTTAAATGTAGAGGCCTACATTTAAAATTGCAGTATTTATTAATGAATTTTAAAGAAAAATAAAAAAAATTGATAAAATACTCTATTTAAAGTATGTAGATGCGGGGGTTTTGGCTTTTAATGCCACTGTGCATTTGTTTTTAGTGCATGTACTGTAGTATATCAACTTTCACCATCTCTGTGTTCATATTCACGAGTAACACTGAGTATGCCTCCATACTAACATTACTGTCACTTAATGTTATTTTTCATCAGTTTCTTAATCTCATTGTTATTTTATTCCTTCCACAAATATCCATAACACATGCCAAACTATTTTAAAATCATACTGTGTTTTTCTTCTCTATGCTGCTTTAACTCATGTCTGTGCTGTTTATTTCAGATTCAAGGTTTATGCCCCCATAGCATTTAGACACTTTAGAGATCTGTTTAGAATTCAACCAGAGGACTATCTTGTGAGTATAACTTCTGTTTTGTTTTTTATATTTGCTGGGCTTATTACCACCATATTTACAAAATTAATATCATTGTTTGTTTTTGCTATTTTATTCTGTGAGCAAAATATATCATGCAGTCATGAATAAGACGCATGCAGAGCTTGAGTATCTCTTCTGAAGACTTTTTTGCTAACCAGTGGCTTTTATTAATTCAGTATAGTAGTTATTTGAAGGTGTTGAAACTGGAGACTGAGCAGTGGTGGCTCGTCCATAGGAGCTGCAGAGCTGCAGTCCACCCAGATGTTCACTGCCAGATATATGACTTCATCAGCCTTACACTAAAATAATTTGCAACTGACTAATATATTACAGGAAAAATCTGTTGTATGTTTTTTCAATATATTTATAAGCGAATTTTATATTTTTTTATTGGAACGAGATAAAAAATTATTAAAAATCGAAGTTCGATGCGGTACGATAGTACAGGTATTACTGGCGTTATGAGCCACCACTGAGACTGAAGATGATGAAGTACAGTGGAACCTCGACTTAGGAGTTTAATCCGATCCGTGACCTAGCTTGTAACTCAGTTTGCTTGTATATCAAATAAATTTTCCTCATTTAAATTAATTGAAATGCCATTAATCCATTCCAGTGGAATTCTTGCTCTTGGGAGGCTGGACAAAAATACTTCAATATAATGCTGATATCAACTCTGCGGCTTATTTAATTATCACAGTTGATCTAATATGACTTAATAAACAATGTAAATAATATAGAAACATGATATATACTCTAGAATGAATAAAATATGTCATGTGATGAATGGTGGTGGCCATTCCTGCTCCCACTCTGACCTTATATTCCTGTGCTCCTATTATGAGAGAAAATGGAGTGTTTGTGAGGCTAACTGCACTTGATCACTAGTTTCTTAAGGAAAACACTGAAATAATGCACAGCAGACCATTGTTTAACACTGTAGTTAGGTTCATGAAAACACTGTTTTAGTTAAAACTGTGTTAGACAAACTGAAGAACTTGTGGAAAAAATAGGGTTGCATTCCTGGGTGCCCCCAAAAAGCCAAGCATTTTTTTTTTTTGACCAACAGATCTTGCAAAAATAAAAGTGAATATGTAATTGTAGTTCATTGTTGTAATATATTACTGCTTAAGACTACAAATGGAGCAGAAATAATAGTATTTCTTACCTTAAATTGTGGGTGCTGGTGTTTGTGGATGATTGTGAAGAGAGTGGATATGCATGGTGTGGCTCTACTGGGCTGAGGTGGATGGTTGCTTGTTGTCGGCAGAAGTGGATGGTAGAGGTTCTGGCACTAAAGTTGATGGTTGTATTGGAGTGTGCATAAATTCTGTAATGGATCTCTTGGCTCTTTTACCCTGCAGTACATTATACAACTGACAGTAAGACATCATCGGCTGGTCTAGACCCTGTTTTAAAGCACTGCTTCTAGATTTGTCAGGGTCCTCTTCAGTGAAAAAGTCTGCTAGTTTAGCAGCAACATGGAACTGCTCACATAACTGCTGCAATGTTAACTGTTTCTCTTCAGGTTCTTCTTCATCTTCTGTTATGTGGCTTCCTTGTATCTGTGCATTGAGCTCTGCCAACATTTCTTTTGAACTTCCTGATCCAGTGGTTGTATTAGAGATGTTGTATTTAGAGGTAAAAATACAACTTTTACATGTGGGGTCACATCCAGCAAAGCTTGTGGATGAGTACAGGAATTATCAAGAATGAAGAGAGCCTTGAATGCAAGGTTCTTCCTGTGCAGGTAAAACTTGACTTCCGGAATAAAGTGATGCTTAAACCGACCAATAAATATTTCTTCTGTCATCCATGCTGACTGGTTTGACCTCCAAATTACTGGTAAGGTGTTTTTATCTACACCTTTCAAAGCATGAGGTTCTTAGAGCAGTAAATAACCATGGGCTTAGACTTGAAATCACCTGATGCATTACTGCAAAGGAGCAAGGTGAAGTGATCCTTTGCTGTCTTGAAGCTCGGTGCACTTTTCTCTTGTTGATTGATGTAAGTTTGTGTTGGCATTTTCTTCCAGAAAACACTTGTCTCGTAAGCACCCTCATAGCCACCCTCAGAAATAATTTCCTGCAATTCAGCAGGGAAATTACTTGCTGCTATATGATCAGCTGAAGCACTTTCAAGAGAAAACTTAATATTATGTAACTTACTATGCAACTTAAAGTTGTGAAACCAGCGTGTGCTAAACATGCACTCTTTTTCAGGCATTCCTTCCTTATCACACACTGCCTTAAACAACTGTAAGGCCTTTTCCCAAATTAAGATGAAATTAAGTGGTGCAGAGTGTATCCTGCGGGCGATGCATGCTCCAATTTTTTCCCCTCCTGCCAACTGAACCATGTTAAGTTAATTTTACGAAGTGTTACACAAAAATATGCCACAATTCTTCAGTAGTGCTATAACCGTAACATGCCAAGCAAAACTGTGTTAAACGACGGTCTACTGTATTTATAAATAAGAAATATTGTATAAAAACATAATAAAACATAAAAGAGAATGTAAAGAAATAAACTGGTTTCATAAAGTGTACATACATATTTACTTCGGAGAAGAGATGCTGGCAGAGGTTGAGGGTGGAAAAGATAGGCAGAGTGGCATATGCTGTCAGTGGCCCTATGAACAACAGCAATAACATTGGAGGAATTTGTTTTGTTTCGTCCTTTTTCTTGTGCTTAATCGCTAGCTTACTTGCTACACTCTGAATTCTAAAGTACATATATATCACTGAACTTAATTCAATGCTTTCATCTGCTGCACCTCATCCAATTCCAGTATATAAGCACTCATCTTCCTAGCTGTGCTTCATTGTCATCAAGACTACGGTGGTCTAACACCGGCTCGCAGGCTGATGTACTGATTACCTCATCTTCCACTACCCTCTGTATAATTCTGTGATGCTAAGAGACTGATTATCTCCTCTTCTACTGTCTTCCATTTATGCCCCTGTATTATATTGATAAAGCCACTGGATGGTGAAATGTTTTCATCATAGAGACACCCAGTTGTTGTACATATCTAATTCATCATGCCAGTGCTGTATACAACTGATGTATCTTATTCATTCTTTCTTTCTTCTTTCAACAAACCGGCTGTATCCCACTCAAGCAGTGTGGCCCGAAAAGAAAAACAAAAGTTTTTCTTTTTAACTTTAGTAATGTATACAGGAGAAGGGGTTACTAGCCTCTTGCTCCCAGCATTTTAGTTGCCTCTTGTGACACACATGGCTTATAGAGGAAGAATTCTGTTTTACTTTCCCATAGAGAATCTTATTCATTATATTTGTTTAATCAAAATCCTTGTCTGATGGCTGAAAATATGTGGTATATATAAAAACAGCTGGAAATGTGTGAGAAGAAACTAAGACTTAACCCTTAAACGGTCCAAACGCATATATACGTTCACGTGCGTAGCGCCCCAAACGTATATATACGTTCACGTGCGTAGCGCCCCAAACGTATACATGTATATACGTTTTCTTTGTCATTCATTCAACACTGCCACGATAAGAATGGGTGTGCGCACTCACTGTGCACCATATTAAAATAATTGGGGATGCCTGGGTACCATATACTCTTTTTTCCTATTAAAAAAATTTGTTTTTTTCTCAAAAAATTTGGGGCGCTACGCGAGTGAACGTATATATACGTTTGGACTGTTTAGGGGTTAATTGTGAGCATCTCATCTTTCAAAATTAGATTGATCGAATCTCAATGAAGCTTGTTTTTCTGTGTTGGTGCACTGGTGTATATAATTTGGTATTCCAGTAACTAAAGAAGTTATTTGGAAGGGAAAGAATTAAAATTACCTGCCTAACATAATTGGGTAAGACCTGTGGGATCATTCCAGAGAAAGTTTTTGTTTTATGAAAGCATAATAGCTGCTGTACTTGCAGCACCTAAAATAATTAATTTTAATTATTCTTTTTATCAGTAACAGTTACTTTAATATGTAAAAATTCAACATGAGTAATAACAGCCTTAGATTAAAAACAACTGAAATTTCATAGGTTTCAAAATGTTCTTGATGGTGCTATGTGCCAAACTACTAAAACCACTGGGATTGGAATACTGTTTTGGTATGCAGTGTCATTTGATGTCCCTCTATCAAATCAAAATGTTTTGTCAATGTAAGTCAGTACAGTGGTACCTCGGGATGTGAACTTTTTTCATTCCAGAAGGCTGTTTGAGTGCTGATACCGAACGAATTTGTTCCCATAAGAAATAATGTAAATTGGATTAGTCTATTTCAGACCCCCAAAAATACACTTACAAAAGCACTTAAATAAATACACTTACATAATTGTTTGAGTTTTGAGCTGTTCGTAACCCGAGGTACCACTGTAATTAGCATTAAAACTTTTGGAGATTAATAACTTACTTTGGTGTGAGATGACCGAACATCTGCTTTTTATTTATTTCCATATTCATTAGTACAGTGGACCCTCGAGTTTCGTAAATTTCGACTTTCGACAATTTTTTTTTGTCAAAATATGCCTCGCCATTGCCATTTGTCACTAGTCCATAACATGTATGAGTGGCCTCCTAGCGTCTCCACACACCCAAAGGCGCCCCACACACCATTTCCAGTTGGTGTGACATTGTTTATTGGCGAGTGACCATCACCCCACGCATTCATACAATAAATTTCGTAATAATCCATTGTTTTTTGTGCTTGCAACTGCTAAATAAGCCACTATGAGCCAAAAGAAAGCTCCTAGTGCCAGCCCTTTGGTAAAGAAGGCGAGAAGCACGATAGAATTCAAGAAAGAACACACCAGCCAAGGTACTTACCCACACCAGCCAGAGCACTTCCCCACACACACAGTTTGATTTGAGTGGGACTTGCACATGACTGAATAGAATTATCAAAGCTTATTGCTTGGGGAGTATTGAAAATTGGTTTGGGCAAATATTCTGTTAGTGGGATGGTTTGTGAAGGACCTGCCTAGTATGGGCCAGCAG